GAACAAATGTAAAGACAAGGTTTACTAAAATGTAAATCTAAACGTTTTATGGGAGTACATAGAGGTAAGACATTAGAAAAACAAATTTAGCTAAATTGTACATCATGAAAAAGAAACATGTCTTCTTCTTGTAACAAGCATTTAGATACAAGAACCACAATAAAATAGTTCAAGCTATTTCATCAGGATATTACTTGGAGTTAATTCAAGAAACACTCAGATTGACTATTTTGTCAACACTAACCTTTAAAATATGCCATCTGAAGATAGTTGTAATGTCTTGCAAGATAATTCTTCACAAAAATCCCCTTCACTTCCCTCAGTTTGTCAGGGCATACATTGCGGCATTCCAAAATGTCAACATGAACCCCAAACAAGCCAGATCTGCCTAAAATCTTGTTTTTCTCGCGTTCCTCTTCACACATTATTTTGCAGTTGTCATATGCAGTGTAGTACTCTTCAAGAGCTTGTTCAAATCCCTGGATGGCATCACTCCACTGTTCTTCTTCGTAAAGCCGGGCAGCATTGAAATAACTCTCTTGGTGAAGTGTGGGTTCTAAAGAGAAAATCCCAGCTTCTGCAACACCAGGCATTTGCTTGTAAATCTTTACATTGTCTGCCATGGCCTTGTCTTGTGGTTGAGTTTCTGTGCACGTATAAGCTGCTCTGGCAGCATCCACTGTCCTTCCAGCCTGTGAGATGAAACACAAATGTGTAAGAACTTAAAAGTGATTAAGAATTGGTGGTCATTTTGTTTGGCTTGCTTGACATCAGGTTAATTGGTGTGAGTACAAGCCCTAGGTCATGCATCATAGTTTCTTACAAGGGAAGATTCTCCCTTTACTTCTTTTACCAAGAGGGAGTGAAGGATTTGAAACAGTTGTTTTGGAACAATAATACAATTTTAACAGTGATATACTGTACATGTACATGTGTACATTGTGCAGGATGTAGTTCAAAATTTTCTTTGATTTAAAATCTATCAAAAAAATTTAACTTTTATTTCCTGTGTTTTAAATCAGGATTGTTATAAAGGATAAAGGATGCAGAAATTTGAAAATTTAACTTTCCAAAGTTTGAATCAAAATCTGCTGGTTCCCTTGGCAAATTAATGACTCATGCCTGAGTGCAAAATGTGATCAATCAAAAGCTCAATTATTATCCTCAGATCATATTTGTATCTTTTTTTTATAAATTTTCACCTTTTGAGACATTCTATACTCCGCAGTTATTGTTGTTGTTACAAATTTATTTGACAGTTGTTATTTGAATGGCATTCTCTATCACAGGAATTGTTAATAAAGCTAATAATCGAAAAAAAGCCTTCTTGCTTTTGTTATTTGAACAATTGTTTTTGGTAAAAGTTACATGCTAGTTTGATATATTTTATTCTGTGTGAGTAACTCTCGGAGAGCTTGGAATCAAATTTCTGAGTAGTGTAACGTTGTAAAAATCAATAGAAATTCCCTCCCATGCAACACTTATCCTTCACAATCTTCAGAGCTCACAGATAAATTTAATCAATTTTTTGTAGCAAATATGCTAAATATGTAACTTAGCAGCTTCTTTAAATTTGCAGCGTTTCTCATGAAAAAGATCGGAAAGAGGCCCAGAGGAAATATCCAGATCATATCTCCCGCCATTCAATAAAAGGCTCCCCCACCTCCCCACTATTTAAAGGGTCAATGCACGATCGATATTAAGCGTGTTTACATTTTACGCGTGAATTCACAAGCATACGAATCTAACAGCCATCTCATTACAATAGCTTCATTCTAGGGAGTTTTAAGAAGTGTTTTGCTGAAATACGATCGCTTGAATGACTCAGTACAATGCGTCTACCACTTTTTTTTCAAATAACACAAAAGCCCGACACTGACGCGAACAAACAGCTGTTGTGTTATCAAAGCTTAGATGTCACGAACGGCCAAAGATAGGGAAATTATCTTATCATGAGCGATACATCTGAAATTGTAGATGGCATAAATTCCAAACAACAAAGCTCAATAGAAATGTGTTATTGTGACTGCAATAAGCAAAACTGTAGGTTACCAGGCAATTTTTTCTGCAAACACGTGTCTCGCAAAGAACAGTGCAGCCATTTATTTATAAATTTATGTTGTGAAGTTAACGCACAAAGGTTCAATAAAACGTCACGTTGGATTGGCAGGGTAAAGTGTTTGACTAAAAGCAAATTCACTCACCTTGTAGTAGGCAAATTGAAGATATCCATACGGAAGCCTTTTCTCGAAGTTGTCCCGAATCGCGACTGAGACCTTGGTTCGCTTACCAAGATATTTTTCTCTGCACTGCTGACTACACTTATGAGAATAAATCGTGTAACGATAATAATTTAGCTCCAAGTCGCTGATTGTGTTATGAGACGATGATGCCTGGAATCTCTCCCGACATCGCAATCTACAATGAATCTTCACTTGTTTTTCGTTTCTATAATCAGCGATTGCCTTCTCTAAGAGTTCGATGGCTTCATTCCACTTTTCATCTCGATACGCGCGTTGCCCGTCTGCAAACAGCTCATCATACGCTGTCGATTTTAGTGCCGTGATATTCAGCCTGCCCAACAAGTCTGCTCGAAGATTTGAGGCTTTAAGTCCGCACAGAGAAAGCCAGAAGAGAAGCCTTGCGGCCATCGTTTCCTGTCTGTTCTTACCCGCTGTATTTGTGCGAGCTTCAATGCTGTTCTGTGACGAAATGCACAATCGATCTCTGATAGATATTTGCGGGTAACTCGACTGTTATTGTCCGATAAACCAATCACAGTTCAGTATCACCGGTAGTTGATAAGTTAAGGCCACTTTGTCTAGCTGCTTTTAAGCGCTTTTCTTTGCTTTTAGGGACCTTCTCAACAATTCTTCAAAACATTGAAATAATACACCAATTCAAAGTGGGTAAAGACCAACCAAAGCGCGAAAGCTGTTCCTCATGAGTTGCAGAAACCACCAAATCAAAAGAAGAAAAAAAAAATTCGACGCCTTCCTCGTTCATTCCAAGTTGACTTTCTTTCGAACTAATTTCAGGTAACGAGAAACACCTGCATATACCAGAATGTTTAAATTATATTTTAGTGAAACTTCTTCCCTCTACGAAACTCAGTTGTAAAATTAAGTATTTTCTTAATCTTATGAAACTAATTGTCTTAAGAAGACCACACTTAATGCCGTTTAAAAGGCCACTATAAAATTACAACTTATTATATTTAACGAGAATCAGCCTAGCCTGTAAATAATTTTAAAAGGTAGCCTAAGAGTTAATTCGAATGCCAAGCTTATCCACCTCCCATACAGAATGGCTTTGTTCATGTATCGTTTCAAAGGTTTCTGGATGATGATTTATGTTAGCTGAGATGTAACTCTGAAAATTCTTTTCACCGTTTCTTTTCATTAACAGGTCAAAGAGCGAATTACATTAAAAAAGGAAGCGAGTGGATGTTACAAAATATTAATTCCTCAGGGTAAAGATAAACTTCCTCGGTAAATTTTAACAATATGAAATACGGACGAAACATTATAAGTAAGAAACGACATGGCAATGCCTCATTCAGTATATCCATAGTTAATGATGAAAAAAAAAAAAAAAAAAAAAGAAAAAAACTTGAGAGAATTAAACAAGACTCAGTTTCTGATAAGTGCTCCGGGTTACAAGATTACCAACCCAAAAGCTTTCAAGAGATCCGACAATATTCAGAAATGACTGAAAAGCTAGAGAGAGGACGCCCCCAAAAATTAATTACCGTTTTTCGGGTTGAGGTACATTAATTTCCTTTGAACTTCTGTCTTTTTCACTCACCCGCAGAAATTTTCATTCAATTTGTTCGATATTTCAGTGAAAGCTATTGATCTGTTGCTGCTTGTATAATACTATGTGGTAAGAAATAGTTTCGTTTTCTTGTTTCATCTCAGTTATTTTCATGTCCTCTCTATTTTGTTGAACAAAAAAAGGAAAAAAAAGAAAGAGTAAGCCAAACTCCAATGTCATTACGAGTGCACCTGATACCACAACATAATGTTACCAAAGAGAAAACAACCATTTGATATCCTCTTGTTTTACTGTAAAAGCTTTTAAAATCGGCAATTCATTCAATTGAAATGAATTTCAAGATGCCCTACAGAGTTTAATAAAATTGGTGTCGTTCGTCGCAAGTGAAACATTTGCGAGATTTTAAACTAATGTCCTGGAGGCGTAACTTTTAACATTGAAGCCGAAAAAACCGGAGACAGCGCCCTGAGTGAAAAGGTCAAATGAGCTTATTTACTCTCAGATTTACCTGTATTTTAAATACAATGCAAACTTACCTTTTTAAAGACAGAAGTTAAATTAATATGCAAAATGAATTGTGCCTTCTTCTATTTCCTCTTTACTTTAATTAATTTTTTCCAGAGCCTGGCACTTAATTCCTCAAAACCATCAGATCGTTTAATTTGTTTTGAAAAACTGCCGGGATTGTAATCTGTGAGTAATGGTGCTATAGCGTGCAGGTTCTCTTACATAGCTCGACTGCAAACTCTGGATCAAGTGCCTTTACAGGGTTATAAAAAATTACTTTTTTGGTATATTCTTCGTTTACGCTTCGCAATTCACCTCGTCTTTACGCAAGCACTTATATTTTTATGTAATGAAGATGTTGGGGCCTTTAAGATTCCTCTTCAGCAAGCACTTTGTGTCGTAACCGCTCAAAGAGCCGACACATCAATCAATTGTAGAACTTTGACGCTCTCACGAGGCCTTTCAAGGGATCTTGACGACAAGCGACATTGCTAAAAATAATGTGGCGGCAATTTTGTTCCGATGAGCCGACAGCCGACAAAAACTGACAGAATAGGAAAGACAGTAAAGGTCATCTGGGCAATAATTTCAGATAATTCCCAAGGCGCTTTAAATTATGGCTTTTGTTATAGCACACTTATGTTAAGTTTAGCAACGTCAGTCAATTGACAATGACCAATAATCCCATCCATGATCATTCATTTTGTGGAAAGACTTTAAACATTAAGATCACGGACAGTGGGCCAGCCAGCTTACAGCCTGCGCGCTGTGTTCGGCGCGAATGACAAGTGACGGCTTCCTTTTTCAAATATACGCATTATTTCTCAATGCATAAATACTTACTTGAAATGAATAATTATAGGCAGAACACTGAATCAAAGAACCTTAGGTTATTAGTTCAGTAGCAAGATTGGCCAAAATTCGCTCCCAGCATGACAGCATGCGTAAAAAAAAAAGAAAATCCAGGTCTTATGGTATGAAGCCATCCCTATCATTACATCGTAAGGGAAAGTTATTAAAAGATATCCTGATCAGGACTTAACTCTAAAGAAAGAAGATTTAAAATCGCTTGCAAATGGCGAGTCACGCAGGCCCTTCAACTCTCTTTAACAAGACAATGCAGGCCCTGTCGGGAGGGGGTGCGACGGGTGTGTACGCACATCCCCCTCCCCCAACAGGCCACGAAGGTCCGTTTACTCGATACCGGCGATTCAAAAGAAAGTAAGTTACAGAAAAGGCCTTAAAAACGGTCCTTAAAACGCGCAAAATGCGTTCCCACTCAACCCAATTTGGTAAAATTTCACGGGGGAGCATGCACCCGGACCCCCGTAAAATCTCGCGCCTCTGGCGCTCGTCAATCAAACGCAGCCCCTTCTGCTAAAACTTGTTTACGGGCCTTTACGAGTCAGAGACACTTTGTCTAAAAGTGGGAGATTCAAAATGGCCTGTGAATGGCAGGAGTCGCGTTGACCTGTTTAACCTCTTTTTTTAACTACACTTTTAACTAGCCCCAAGAACATTGATGGAGAAATAGCACCTTCTTCAAAACCAAACGCCTTAATATGCAATATGTAAGGAAAGTATTTGAAAGATATTCTGGTCACAGCTATTAAAATTCTGAAGAAAGAAGATTTCAAAGCGCTTGCGAGTGTTAGGAGTCGCGCAGGCCCGTCAACACCACTTAGTGGCATTACTCTTGGTCAGTTGAGTTACTCGAGTGCTACAAGACAATGGCGGAACGTATGAATCGGCCCTTGCTTGAGCTCCTTATTCAAACGATGGTATGACGTTCATGTAGAGAGAATTGTGTTCTTTATGGCCATGAGTAAAAATAAGTGCGCGAGTGAGGGGAGCTCAGAACGCTAGGCCACTGATCGACAATGAAACACAAATACTAAGCCTTGAAGTGATCTTTGGAATTTTTACTTCTACTTAAGCCAATAGAAATTTATGTGGTTAATCTCATGTCGAAAAGAAAACACTTACGGGCGCTAGCACAAGTCAGAAATTACTGTATTGCCAAATTCTGTGCGACAGCGACATTTGTTCCCAACCAAATAGGCGACAGGAATAGCGAGCGACAAGGCGACATCGAAAACCCCTTTGGAAGGCCTCTCTAATGTCTCACCCTCCGTATAGGACGTTGTTTTTCAAACAGAGGTTCTTCGATCCCAGGCAGGTGTTCCGGTCATCACCTAACCTGTTCCAGGCGTTTATTGAGTAGGACTTGGGTTTCATGTTGACGCCTTGGACGGCGCCCATCTTGAAGCATTCGCAGATAAAGACTAATTCCAGCACAAACCTCACTGCCTCGCTTCGTGTAATGGCAAATGGGGCAAATCTGCATAAAAGCACTACAGTCACCCTTCCAAATCTTATCCCTCTTTCCAAAGTATTAAACAACGTGGGGTATGTCAGATCGTGCCGCACCTAAACTGCAAGATAATTTCTTAGGACAATGATCTTTGCAGAAGTGAGGGAACTACATTGTAAAGAGACCTTTCACTTAAGGTACACTTAATTTTTTTTTAAAAAATAACAAAAGAATATTCCTGATAACTTCAGCAATAAAATGCATATGCTTTATTATGTACAAAGTTCTCCATGGCATCTCTACAAAAGTAATTTAACGCCAGCCCATTTACTAATCTACAGAGGACAACGTTACATGCGATTGGGAATGTATGGCGGAAAACTTCTATGTTTGATGAACGATTCAATCCTGTCTACAGAACACTCCGCTATCTATAAATTACATATCCACATCAATCTTCTTGTCTTCAACAATTCTTCCTTCACATACAGGTACAAAGTGTTCTGGTATTTCATATCTCTTTGCCATTTCATTTATTTCAAAATATATCTGCTCTCTTTTCTTATATCAGATGCGGTTCTAGGAGTCAAAAAAGTTCTTTGAAATTCTATTTTTTGTATCTATGTAAATCCCCTTACATAATTTGCAGTTTTTTTTTCATTGCGACATACCTGTAGATGATATTTGCTCACTCTACAATGGCTTTAGAAGCCTATCAACTAATAAAACTTTATCACATGAACATCACAACTTCATCTATTTGCAGTTTTAGAAAATGTAAAATCAGGTAGTAAGAACTGAATTTTTAAAATTCTCATCATCACCAAACGTGTTCAGGCTATGAATACCAGAGCAATGCCTCTAGTAGGAAAAGTAGTGATGTATTTATCACAATCCACAGGGTATATAATCTTAGTCATTACGATCCACAGTCTTAAAAGAAAAAAACGTAATCAAGTTGTATCATTCTTGAAACTTTGGATCTGAAAAAAGTAACATACGTAATTGGAGATCTTGTGAACGATTACATTAAAAAAATCGAGAAAATAAAAATATCTGAATAAAAGAATCAACGATCTTTCAACTCCCAGAGTTGATATGTTATTTCAATTCAAAATTTCCAAACACATATCAACCAGGGATTAGGAGAATTGAAATAATTAACAGCTTGAGGACTTTAAATTAACACTAAAAATCAACGACTCTCGATACTCATGTAACTCCGATTGCCTACACGGGGAGACCTTTCTTGATATCTGCATTTCCATTGTGATAGTGCACGTCCTGGCCACCATTTCTTATTTCGAGGCTACCCTTTTCATTGAAGTCCGGTGGTGAGACACCTCTTTCAAGCGAGTTATCATCAGTCTCACTTTTAAAACCATCATTTTTCATACCACAGCCATTGGACGGTTCCACTTTCACGTCATACTGATACGGGCACTTCATTTTCTTTTTCCTGCGTAGAATTTTAAGAGTTTAAGGGGCTTTACACATGAAAAGAAAAGTAGAGTAAAACGAAATAAAAATATCTTAAGGGTGCTTTTGTGGCAGCTGAACATGTCAACTCACCACAAAGACATGGAATCAAATTTTATTTGAACAATTTAAATTCTAACAACAAATCAATAGTCAGAGTTTATGTCTGCAGGCATTATATGTTTTGGGCTCGCCTCAGGTTAAAATGACTCTAAGAAAGGCCCAAAAAATGTTTATATCCCAGAACATTAATCGTCAGTAGTACTATTATCACTTTGGAAGGCATTGATAAAATAAAAACTGAAAACTATAAAAAGAAAAAAAACCTGGAACAAAAACGTAAATATGCAAGTGGGCTAAGATAAATAACAGCTCTCCAAAATTTCCTGTAGTCTGCAGAATGCACCACAATGTCTAACAAAGTGATAACAATATAAGGATAACTACAGGATATGTAGACAGGTTATAGTACAAATATTTATGAAGTTCCAATAGAGAGGCAAATGTTAGCCTACATAAATATTTCAAAGGTGGTTTGCCTTGATGTTGAGTAAAAAAGCTCATCTATCCTGTTGATAAATGCAATGATGGATGAAAATAAAACTGCATCAATTATGTCTGCAGTTGCTGATGATTTGCATGGGAATAAAGACATTTGATCCAAGGATTAACTGAATCACAAATACAGGTACACTAACAGATATGAACACACCAACATTTGTCCTTCTACAGCCATTAATCTCTTGGATTAATGTTAGTATCTAAGGAACTGCACACCTAACCCTCCCTTGACCCAACATTAACCCTAATTTGATATCAGTTGCCTGTTGCTGGGTAAGGGGGAGGGGTAGATGGGTTAGGGGGAGGGGTAGATGCTCAGTTGCTCTGATACTGACATAGGTCTTATCTCTTGAATGGATACCAGATCTGATCATTTGAATCTGACCAGTCACCTTTTCCTTCAGTGTCAACAAGCTTTCCTACACGTGTAGATGTAACTAGGATATATGTGTAATTTTAAAAATTTCCACTAAAAATGGGGCTAAGGAGACTTATTTACATCCACTCAAAGGAAAATTTTACAATTACTGTACAGTACTGAAATTTGCATGTGAGGTTTCTACATTTAAAAATACCTACCAAAAACAATGGTAACCAATAAAGAAAATCACAGCAATGAAAAGTATAGCACCTAAAACCATTGTACAAATCTTCCATTTTTCTGTAAGAAAAGAGAAAGAACATATTTATGTCCAGAAATCAATACCTTTGTGACTTATCAGATAACCTTGCATGTGCATTATCTACATACATAATCTGCACTTACTGCTCTCATCATCTTCACTTTCAGAATCTCGAGCCCCTTTCTGTCCTAACCGACTGCGCGCTTCAGTGGGAGACTGAGTGTGTGATGAAACTGCAACAGTTTTTGTTTCTGTTGCAGTACATTCTCCCTGTGTGTTGCAAGAAACAGTGGTGGGCAGAATACTTGTCTCAGTGTGCACAACACTTGAAGTGGACACTATCTCCTTTCCAACAGTTGAAGAGGGTTTTAGAGTTGCTGAAGGTGTTAGAATTGTTGAATAAGAAGGTGAAGGCTCTTTCCGGCAATGTGGCTTGCCAACATTCTCAAGGCAAGCAGTATCTAAAGACCAAACACATTGCAACTGATTACACCAAAGGAAGCTAGTAACATGTAGGTTCAACTAAAGTGATTTTTCCAGAAATAAATTAACATGTAGTTCACAGCAAACAGCCTAATTTGAGAAAATCCATCTTTGGTATCTACAGTTTTACCAGAAGCATAGATCATCATCAAACTTGTCAAAAAGTAAAAAGGGGGAAGTTTCAAAAACAACTGTGATGCTGCATTGGAAGGGAGTGGGGGGGGGGGGGGGGTTAAAAATATAATTTGTTTTTTATCAACTGAGTTGATAACCTAAATTCACCATTGTAAGGAGTTTTTATTAGCTGATGATTAAAGCATTGGCCCTTTGTCAGAGTCAAAAGGTTAATATCCTTCAGCATTTTTTAAGTCTATTCTCACCTAACAACAATAACAGAACTAATTGCAAAATGAAATCTCATAACAGTTGTCAGATATTGTAATCCTACCACATGGTTTGGGATGTGTTGCACCATTAAAACCCATCACGTAACCCTTCATGGCATATCCCATATTTCAATCCCTGAGTCTTTAAACAGCAATTGTAAATAGGTTGTAAAATGATAGTGATGGAAGAGAAGTGATCAAACCAATTCTTCCTTTCCCCTTGTGCAGTGAAACTGAAGGCTTCTGCCTCTTAGCTCTTCTGATATTGATGAGATATAAGGTGTTACTTTTTGTCCTTGACAATTTTTTTAATCTTTCATTTTCTCATGTGTAAAGATACACCAATGAAAATCATTCCTTTGTTTAAGTTAGAGATAACTTTCTGGTTCCATAAATCATTGAAAATGAATGTTCAGTAATGAAATCATCTAATCACTGACCCAAGAACCATATCACTTGGTATTGAATTGATTGCTATTAATATCTAGGGATTGCCGCTGATATATTCTGGCAGCATATATCATCAAACATAGATATAGATATATGCAAAAGTTAACATTTCCAATATTGATCACAAGATGTTGTGTTGTTTTCAATCAACAAAAAAGAAAAACTCAAAAAAGAAAAGATAATTGAGTAAAAAAAGACTGGCAATAAAGGAAAACTAAGCCAAGGAATTCAAATAAATGTAAATATTACTGATGCCCAAGTTGATCTTTGATCTTCCCATATTAATTGTACAAAGCGCAACTTAATTAATCACTTGACTAGGACTTTCAATGAGGGAACAACATCTTAAAGGAAACCCAACAATAATAAGTTGTAGTCTACCAGACAAGTGAAGACAAGTGTTTGGACAAAAATAAATTGAAAAGGAACCAAGGGATGGTAAGGAATAGAAGTAACCACCCACAATACAAATGACTACCACTAAATTTAGGTTCAGATTTTCAAGAGGCATGAAATATGATTTCCTGTACGTTAGATGTTCATTTTGTGGTTGTGCTGAAGTAGACAAAGACCTTTGTAGAAAAACCGAACTATTACTGATAATCCCTTTCACCATCATGATCTGAAAGACATGACAATCTTCTTTGTCGCCCATTTTTGAGAAATATCCCCACTGGAATAATTTTAAATTGTTACTAACAGCAGTTTTCACTACAAAAATACTCAACTCTTTCTCGCTCAAGATCTCATTTAGTAATTATCCTTTCAGTCTACCATACAATTCTCATGACATAAACAGCAAATTGATATTTTACTTTATTCTCATCACTTGTCACTTGTGTGATTGATATTGTATTGATATAAAAGGTTTCATTGAGGGCTAGACACTCCAGGCAAATTAACTGGTTGTGAGGATGGCTTTGCCCACTGGGTTTGATCATCTTGAGAAAAGTTTCGCTAATAGAGAAGTTCAGTTCAAAAACTTTAGCCTGCCTGTGAAAACCAGTTGCCCTGCTTCTGAAAATGTTAGTGAAACCCCTGACTGATATTGTAACAAGAAATTCTGTCTTTAGTAAGTCACTCATGGGAGTTAAATTGTGCATTAGTATATCAAATGATGAGATCAAGAGGGTTTAAATAATAAAGGCATAGACCTTGGCGATTTGTCATCTCTAGTGGTTCATTCCACAGGAGTTCCTTGTGATTTAACTGAGGTTTCATAAATGGTGACCATTAATGGCTGTCATGATTACACACCTTTATCTTGGCTTAAGTCTGAACTCAAACTCTTGCCTTTCATCCTCAAATGTATTTGAGCCAAAAATTGAATATTAAATTTAACTACAAAAAAATTCTTTATCATTTTACCTCCATCCTGACAAACATGCATTTCAATTTTCAAGAAGCCACCACTTTCTGTTCCATTACAGTGTCCTCCTTTTGTGCTGTTCACCGAGGAAAACTTTCCATTGCATGTTGCTGTTGGTGAAGAAAAAAAGAGTTAGCAAACACTGTGCTGTAAATCTAAGACTGGCAACTCTCTACCCCTAACCTGATAATATTAAAAACCAGGATCTCAAAAGTGTGGGAGATTAAGCCCTCCATTGCTAATAAACAGTTTTTCTTTCTATATGGATTTTAATAAGTTGATTAATACACACATCTTGATTAGTTCTTACAGTCTCACAATCTTCTAGACAACAGATGCAAAGACAACATCATCATGCATTCACGGCTTTTAGCTAATCTTTATTATGTAAAATATATAATTAGATTCCATGTTTCCATGGATCTTTTCAGTAATAAATGTAGATCATGGAAGACACCAAAATGTGGTGAGGACATCATTGACGCACTCAGCTGTACCTAATGTGCCATGTTTTAGTAACCATATTTTGCGTCACCTGTGATTTATAACAGAACAGATCTCAATTGAGTTGTCAGTAGTCTCTTGATTTGGAGATTAATGGGACCCTCCATTGCTAATATAATTATTTTTCATCTTTTCATTCGTTTATCACTTAAATAATCTTCTCTTTAAGCATTTGAATGTTAGGAAGTCTACTGCTGCTGCAGCAACTTATATGTGTAAGGCCTCTAACCACCATCTGCGGCATTATTTTGTATCTTCACTTTTCAACCACCCGTCATATCCTTTGTTTAAAATTCAAAGTTTTAGGTAATTGATGGAAAGTTTCCAAATCTTCTCAAAAGGTTTGGAAATTTAAACAAAGCCTCTATTGAAAGACCCCTGAAGAGTACAATGAATTGCTGGTGGGGTGTTTTGACTAACAGATATGCAAATTTTTTCAACTTGAGTGACACTAAACAGATGCATTTGAAAACTATTTTTAGTTGAACCGAGACTCGACACTTCCTATTCATGTTTGTGAAAATAACTATAACATGAAAGTGAGAATGTTAAATCTAATTCCTGAATTGTTTTTTATATTGCATAACCTTCACATTTTTACTTTCCATGACCAAAAATCCAAAGAAACAACTCTTTAAAACAAGGAAGTGAAACAAAATACTTAATTTTGGACATAGCAATATGTTCTCATTTGAATACACAACTTCCTCAAAGTCTGTAATGGGCTATATTTTGAAAATAGCAAAGCCAAACGCATTTTGAATGGATAATTCTTTTGAAACTACAACTTTAGCTTTAAGCCTATCAATCAATTTACCCTAATAGCTTACAAAGAACATCTACATAAAAAAATATCTGGTCAGGGGTAGATGTATCAACAGTTCAACTGAAATAACACATATATGTGGCTTAAGAGTAAATAATCAAATAAATGTAAGTTGTGTCTATCATCTGAAGCCATATATTTATTTTCTAAAGACTGCCTTTAAAAATTGGTACTGAGTAGTATTTCTGTATACAATTTCAAATACTGTATGAAAAATCCATCCATGCACAATGAGCATCTAAATTTAAAAATATTTTTGACAAATCCTTCATAAAAGCCAACCCTCTAGCATTTCATCAGACTTCTCTGACAATTCACTGGTACCCCTTTAAGTTCCTGGGCTGTGAAGCACACTGTAACAGTAAAGTGTTTTGGTCAAGAACACAGCACAACAACACTACCAGGTCTAAAAACCTGAGCCTCTTGACCCAGAATACAGTGCACCAACCATTAGAACCACCCATCTCCTACTGATAATCACTATGTACTTGTTTTAAAGATAAAAAATGAATTCAACCCCTCCTTCACCCCAATAAACAATGACATGAACATGAACTCCAACAAACTGGACAACTTCCACTAAGGTTTAACTTTCAAAACAATGATTTTAGTAACATCGACACTTACAGATGAAGAAATAGGATTTTCCTTTCTGAAAAGTAAGAGAATTTTCAGCTGAATGCCGTTGGAATATGACAGTGCGGAACTGAAGTGATGTGGGGTCTTCGCAGCGCATGAGGATGGAATGCTTTGGATCCTGGGTAACATCACAACTGTTGAAGGCAGCACTGTTGTGTACCAGCCAAAGATTCTCATACTTGTTTGTTTTTGTAACTTCCCCCAAAGTTGAATCCATGAGAGTGGCTACATTTGGACACACAAAATTGATTTTTGATTGAGCTTCCACATTGACAACCTTGGGCTTCCCTGAGGGGCAATCATTTTTAAACCTGTATGGAGAAAAATAGCGAACAGATGTAAACGCAGTTGTTCCATGGGTGGAGTCAGCCATAAAAAAAAAAAATAGACATCCTACAAAGAGTCCAAGCAATGATCATGTGTACTTGTGTCTTGATAATATTAGTCTCTTTTCCTGTAGTTTTGTAGAAGCTACCCTCAGCTGCATGCAATCATCATTTGTACTAAAGAACACCTAATTCTTCTCATCACTATAATGATGACAATAATGATAAATATAATCATAGATTTATATCGCACGTTCTTCTGTGATATACAGTATCTCCCAGATAATTAAATAGATTGACTCCATGCCTGGCAAGGAATGCTACATTTTGTACACCCATCATACAAGCATTTGTGAGGGGAAGGACAATAATCACATGTATATGTAATTGTCATCCTTGCCCTTACAAAATGCCAGCTGTTTCAAGGCTAACATATTCCTCGTCCTTTCCTGCAATCACCTTAATCTCTACCAAGAAAAAAGTGAAGTCTAACTACCTCCAATCAGATCAGTTGCAGCACTGAATGCCTAGGAATGTTTATAAATTTTTAAATACTTGTTTTTTCTTCTGTATTTCTTATGATCACCCTTTCCAGATTTTAGCTGATTTGACTGATTACCCTACTACCTGATAAAGCATACAGCACTTAACCATGCATATGCTTTCCCCCACGAGAAACAACTTAATCAAAGTGACCCAGTAGGACCTTTTACGCTGGGTTGCAGCTCTAGCTCATGATGCACAAATTTCAACCCCACAGTTTGAAAGCCAAAACATATAAAATCTATGTAAATTGTAAGTGTCTACTCCCAAATACAGTGCAAGTATATTTTATGAGAACTTCTGATGTGTTCATCCCTACTAACTATTGCTAACTACTTCATCAGAACTTTCAGATAGATATGCATGTGTATACATGCATATAGCACATTTAATCCAAAGCACAATAAACTTCACAATCATTTGAGACAAGTCTATGCCAATATCAACCCTAAAATGCATGAGTGACAATTTTTGTAGGTCATCAAGATATATAGTTAATCCATTTTCATGCACAATTGACTGAGAGGGAAATCTGAGAAATTGGATTTGCACATACCGTAAAAAGGAAGTTTAGGAGTAGAGATACGCTTTATAAATGTATTGTTTGTGAAGTGGCTTGGAGTATTCTGCCATGTGATGGACACCCTTTATTCTGTATGTCTGCATGAACTATGTTCTTCCAAACTCAGAGTGACTATATGTACAATTATGAATGTATAAGAATCAAATTGTAATAATCAGAACTCTGAAACTTAATCTGTCAATTTTTAACTTTTAAAACGCTATGCCTTCCTTTATTGCTGGCAAGGTTTCGCTTCCCTTAAGGCTCAGTCAAGCCGATCTACACGAATATACCCAAGGACTGATTTAAGAGACCATTTCAATCTAATTAACATGTAGAATTCATGTTTACATCTTCAGGTATATGTTAAAAAACATAGCGGTTTTAAGGAACATGTGCGACTGATGCAGCTCTGGATTGTTTACTTAGATCCTATTCAGCTGTAAATTTTGGTAAACTGTAATTCAAAACTTCTCGCCAACGCTCGAATGACCTATCTGCCTTTACTTGTCACGGATATTTCTTTGCCATATATTAAAAACGACGAAACTGCGTTAAGTAATATAAATCTTTCTGTCGGCAGTCCTACCGAAAAGGAAGAGTTTTCCGACACGAAGTAATATCAGTAGATACGACAGGAACATTAGACCAAAGTTCGCTTGATTTTAACAACATGGAAATTTCGGGATGATGGCGGAAAGACGTTTATAATAACTTGTTTCTTTCCGAGAACTCGAATTGCAGTTATAAGGCCGCATAAAATGTGCAAGTTGTTCATGTTATTTGCTAGTTTGGGACTAAATAGGATAGAAGCCGCCAATATCGTCCTGTAGTACACAAAGGCAAAATAAACATCGGCTACGAGTTCAATAGTACAACTCGAAAAGACATCGCTATAAATCGATAGTTTCGACCGTATTTTCAATGCAGAATGAGAGCCTTTGGAAGACCAAAGGTAGTTGTTATCAAAAGGCGAAGCTTACCACATGAAACATGAGTCTACTTTACCTTTAAGGTGCTGAGCATGAGGAAATAATGAAACGGAGATTAGAGAAACGATCGGGTGTCAAATTCGCACTCATCGTTAACTGGATATACTACAAGAAATTACAGGTCTGTTGCGCGTTCAAATCTTAACATCTTGAAACATATGAATAGCTATGGGAAACTAACTTTGATAGTGGCTTTCAGGTTTCACAATCTACTATCGATTTAGAAAATTAGAAAGAATAAAAGAATTAACGTTGCTCTTTCATGTAAGAGAGGAATTAATGAAAGAGACCGACATGAAACATGCAACGAGGGATCTTTACTTACAGTAGATTTTCAGGATCCCAAATTAAGGACTTGTAAGTTGCACTCCCAAGAATGTAATCGAAGCTCATGAAGAAGATGAGAAGAACACAAAAACAGCCTTTCGACTTCATTGCCAGTCGTCGTTTTCTGTTTAGTTAATCGTCACGTATCCAAGTTGCTCAATCTCGTTCTTCACATTTCGAAAAAAAAGCGTACCTCGTAGAAGAAAACACTTTCGAAAGCCTCGCTTGTTGATGGCAACCGAATTATTTCATAAATATTAAGTTTTGTTTATGATCGCTGAAGACTGGACGAGATATATATTGTTTCCCCGGAAATATTTCAATGATGGCACAGTGCGCAGTGCTGCTCAGGTAATATTATGCGCAACAATTTCAGCAGCTGCTTAATTGTGATTGGCCGTTGGTCACTGGCCCTCCTCTTGATGTTTCGAAACAATGTGTGAACACCTTCGATTAAACACGACACTCCTTTTATTACCCTTCCCCTTTTTCATACCTCTGTGACCTCGGTCTTCGACGCGCTAAAATACTACACATTGCTATCAACCTACGCCACGTAATGTGCCTACAGCCGGTCGAGAGCAGCGCGCGACTGAATTTCCGACTACGACTACTTGTGTCGCATGTTTGATTAGCTTACCGCGGGCCTAGCTGAAGACATGTTAAACTTCCCTAGCGAAAACTTACGCATAGGATGACAATTCGGAAATTCAACCGATCAATTATCATTGCTGATACGGAAACTCAACGAGAAACGATAATTTTTGCGAAACCCGGAGAAGCAGCGTAATGATTTTTGAGGTCATCGTGTCTCAAGTTACGATTGAGGCATCGGCTTCCTCTAGCTCTTCTTCTTCCTCGAAAACCGCCAACTCTTCCGAATTCTTTATCTATTAATTCTGGCGAGTGATTGCATTCTGTCTTCAGATACATAATACTGATCGCCCTTACAACTAACAGAACTTACAACATAGACACATCGCGAACTATCCAGCGTATTTGTATTAGCTTGTTCGTGGCATCCTACTGAGTGAAATTTCCGTATTTTAAAATATCCGCAAAATTTTCTAGAACCATTTCTAATTCTACAGTTAAGTTTATGACACATCAAAAATACGTGGGGCAAGACACGATTATTATGTAACGCACGTTTTGGGTTGCTTTTTCATGAACGTGACCAAGGTTGTATAATAATCAATATTACTTCAGGCACGACATTGCTGAGAAGAAAGGAAAACTTTATAATTCTTACATCATCAAAAATTTTGTCGGCATTTAGCACGTTCGAGTTTCTTGTTTAAAAAAAAAAAAACGGAGAACACAACTGTAAACATACTACAAAGAAGGAAGTTTACTAAAGACAGACAGACAGAAAGGAAAGCGGACAAACCTTCATTTCTGTATTGGATCAAAACATTAGATAAACAGAACAAACACCCACAGAAAGCCAAAGAGTTAGAAAGAATCACTGAGAGTCGGTTATTTGAACTTTTCGCTGATCCAGGAAATATGAGAGTAGTTTCGGCCTGGAAATGAGATTAAACCCAGCAAACAATATACAGACACAAAAACTCCCTTGGTGACTTATGGGATCATCATAAAGCCACACTATGGACAAACATACGTCAAGACTTTTCATAAAGGGATTGAAAAGCAAGCAAAAATGGCGGTAATCATTGCCAAGGTAAACTTGAAGTCGACTTTGAAAGAACAAAATAGAAGTGTTTCCAGGTTTTCATCAATTGAGTCCCATCAAATGGATCATTTGGATATGAAAAATTCCTCGATTTGTTGTAATTCCCGGGTTGTGATAACACAGGTTTTTTCGCATACCTAGGTTTATAAGTACGTATTATATTTACGTCAGCGAATTAAAAGATGATGATGATAGGTGAAGTGTAAAATAAAGTTTTATACCCTAAAATATGTGATTAGAATTACAGAAATAAATATCCTTAAGCAAACAAAAGGTGACAGTTGATACATTCCTATCATAGAGGATTCTGAGAGTTCACTTCTCTCTCTCTTTTTACAATCGACTCAGTCGATTCTATGTGAAATCGGCGAAGGCTTACATAGAAAGGATCGGACCACAAGAGACGTTAACCTTTAAAGGAAATTAGTGGCCTTTATTCAAAGTTTCCATGCAGTGGCGCCTACCTTAATCACGGCAGACTGAGGGCAGACTGCCGGTCAGTAAATAAATAGAAGTCCTAACACCTTGATAACGTAACTTTCTGAGGAAGGGCCGCTCAAAACATCACCTTTTAACTCCTTACGGTTGCCAATTGGCACTATCAATTGCACTGATGAAACCAAATTATCTTGTTATACTCCTACAGCAGCATCACAATTTCTTTAGAAACTTAACCCCATTTATTCATTTATCATTACTTTGACTATGTCGGCCAAGCCTTTGTGAAATATCGGTCGGGGCGCGGGGCTCAAAAAATTTGCCACAACTTTTCATGTTGGCTTTTCATGTTGGTATTCAATTTAATCTACTGCATATTTTCATGTTTGTTTACTAACCGCACTTTTTTCATTTTTGTGTACTTAGACATTTTTTAAATATATATACAGTGAGACTGGGTAGAAAAATAAAAGGGCGCGCCAGCGGAGGCTCATAACGTCATGGTCGGGGGACGGGGCACTTAAATTTTGCCACAACCTTTCATGTTGGATTTTGGTATCCATTCTTATCTTCAGCGTCTTCTTTCAATTTTGGTTATTTTTGTTTGTCTATTCTGGCAAAGTTGTTACAAGTCATTAGTTTTGTTCTTTTGCGGAAGCACTTTAAAGTAAGAGAGCACTTAAAAAGCGCTCAAGTTCTGTGTGATATTTTGATTTTCCTTTTATTTTTTAGTTTGTTTTTTTTTTGGCCTTATTTCCTACAGAAAATGCTGTACGTGTGGATTGGGCCAATCGACAGCAATACATAAAAGTACACTCTCATCATGACGTAACTGATGTAAGTACCGCGGTAATTTCCAATATCAAATGAAGTCAGATTTTTCTTAGGAGTCATCAAGCCATTCGCGATTAATTAGTAAGACTTAAGGCTACAGTTAAATTTCATGTTTTGGCATGACAGAAACCGTGGCTGTGTTTACAAAATACTTTGTTGACGTCGAAGAATCCCTAGGAAGAATCGGAAAGATCCAGAACATTTCTCATATCTATCAACGACTTTTTTTCTTTGTCACATACTTAAGACCTCAAAAGCGAGAACAAAGGAAATTTAAGCTTTGACAGATGATTGGAAATCTTACGTCTTTAGCAAAACTTTTGTCTCTTTTCTTTTGTTTTGAGTGAGAGGAGCTCAATCACTTGAGATTCACTTTGGACATTGTTTAAATATCTGCCTGTCCAGAATTCGCTAAATGTATCACCTGACCTTGTAGATTCATTAACCTGTTTTTTTGTTTCTTTTTCTGTGGACTCCTACAATTTTTCACTGTCAGACTCTGACGTTGGTAATTCTTTGAAAACACTTCAATTTGACTTATATCTGCTTCCACAAAGACCGCAGAAAACAGCAACGTCACCGCCTACCAAAATTGCTGAAGTTGAACGTGCATGAGTGAAAACACTTCAATTTGACTTATATCTGCTTCCACAAAGACCGCAGAAAACAGCAACGTCACCGCCTACCAAAATTGCTGAAGTTGAACGTGCATGAGTGAAAACATCCTCCTTAAACACGAGCATCACAGTCTCTCAAAACCTGATTTTACACACGCCCATATTTTGTGCAGGTGTTTTTGCTTTTTTTTCCGAAGGCCGCTCGAATCCGATCAATATTTGAAGTGTTCTGAATGTGGCGGTGCATGTTCTAAACTGATGTCATTTCGTTGATATGCATTTGTTAAAGAAAAATTGTGTGCTATCAACTAAAGCAAAGGAAAACTGTCAGAAGTATAACAAGCTGGAATTTCTTCTAAGTCCTTCAGAATTTCCTTTTTCTCTAAGTCAGCCTTTAAGAAGTCAGTTTAATCAGTAAATTTAGTCTTAAAACCTTCTTCTGTAATAAGCTTTACCTTTGGGAAACCTGGAAAATGAAATGTTATATTTTGTCATTTACATTGCATTGTGTCATACTGATATCTCTTCGAAGCTTCATTACTAGAAATGACCCAAAACTTCTCCGAAGGCGCTTCGCGAAATTGTTACTGGCTGCCACAGACTGATGAAGAGCACGATGTGCACGGAACCATGGGAAGACGACTGAGGTGATGCTTTCCTCAGACAGTTAGAGGTTATCGGAGACGTTATACATGACGCTAAAGCCTAACGGCATTCTGCAATCGGCAATCTTCCCCCTTACCTTACGCGTTTGTATCCTAAAACAGAACATGTTGCAGTGCTATTCAAGGTGCAAAATGTAGTTTACAAATTGTTGTCTTGCATTCTAGAAATTCAGACCTTGACACACTGCAGTTTCTGAGAGGCTAGATGTCTACACTGCACTTACCTTGAAAGCAGTCTCACTTAATAACCAACTGAAAAATTCAGTCCAGGTTCGTGAAATTGGAAATTTTTGTTAGCCAACCTTCACTTCTTGTATTGACTTGTTTTTAAATGAACATGCCTTTTAATATTCAATTCTGAGTTACAAACATGTCAAATGATGATCAACTTCTCTATGCTCATAAGTGAAGACTGAGGCAAACAAGGCTCCTATGCAAGAACAGCCATAGCTGCCCACTTTGCCGAGTCCAAAATTCTGGAGGATGCATGTGCTCGTTCCCGTAGAGAAACAACTGTTCTCCTCGCAAGTGATCCACCGCCGCACTTGCCAACTAGATAAGGAGAGGAAATCTGCCTTGGATGATCTTCTTGGAGATGTTTTCGTAACTCAATTTGTTCCTGGGAAGTCATTGTTTCAGATAGTTAAGTCAGAGTTAGCCAGTTACAAAGTTAAAGAAACCATGCCATTTAACTCTAATCCATTGTCGCGGTGGAAAGCAAATTAGCTCAAATACCCTATTTTGTCAAAGTTGGCCTAAAGATGTGTCCCTGCTACATCACTGGTGAGCGAGAGAGTTTTCTCTTCTGCAGGTGACCTTGTGTCTGCTCAGAGGTCATGCTTGCGTAGTGAACATTTAGACAAGTCAATTTTTTTAGAAATGTGAGAGTGCTCTAGATCTAGAAAGAAGAACACTAAAAAATTGCATTTTTTTTTATTGCATCCTTGTTATAGATTAATAATGTTCCTATTACTATCGTACAGTGTATCCTCAAATTGAGGGTTTCGGGTTGTATGTTGTCTACATTGTGTATCATGTTGTAAGAATTAAAAAAAAAAAACATTAATATTTTGCTTAATTGAATTGAAATAATCGATATCGAAAGCTTAAGGTAGTAATCGAATTGAGTCGAATCGTAAGGAATATGAATAGTTACACCACTACTGGCCACCAGTTTTTATTTTGAGACCCTCATTCACGTCTGATGTAAGACCCCCTTTTTTTTAAGCGAGTCAGCATCAGTCTTTCTTTTAAAACCATCATTTTCCAAACCAGGTCTTTTGGAAGATTCTACTTTCACGTCATACTGATCCGGGCGCTTCATTCGCTTTTTCCTGCGTAGAATTTTGAGAAGAATTTAAGGGGCTGTACACATGAAAAGAAAAGCAAAGTAAAACCAAAGAAATATCTTAAGGGTGCTTTTGTGGCAGCTGAATATGTCAAATTACCACTAAGACATGGAATCCAATTTTTTTAAAACAATTTCAATTATAACAAAAAATCAATAGTCAGAGTTTATGTCTGCAGGCATTAATATGTTTTGAACCTACCTCTGGTTAAAATGACTCTAATAAAGGCCCAAAAAATATTTATACCCCAGAACATTCATTGTCAGTAGTACTATTATTATCACTTGGGAGGGCATTGATAAAATAAAAACTGAAAACTATGAAAAAAAAAACCGGAACAAAAACGTAAATGTGCAAGCAGGTTAAGATAAATTTCAGCTCTCCAAAATTTCCCTTAGTATGCAGAATGCACCACAATGCTTAACAAAGTGAAAACAATATAAGTATAACTACAGTATATGTAGACAGGGTATAGTACAACTGTTTATAAATTTCCAACAGAGAGGCAAATGTTAGCCTACATAAATATTTCGAATGTGGTTTGACTTGAAGTTGAGTAAAAAAGTTCATCTATCCTTGTTGATAAATGCAATGATGGATGATATCAGTTGCTGGGTTAGGGGAAGGAGTAGGTGCGCAATAGATACTGACATAGGTCTTTAATCTCTTGAATGAATACCAGATCTGATCATTTGAATCTGACCAGTCACCTTTTCTTTTAATGTCAACAAGCTTTCCTACACATGTAGATGTAGCAGGGAAATATGTGAAATTTAAAATATTTTCATCGTTATATTAAAAATTACTGAAATTTCCAAGTGAGGTTTGTTACATTTAAAAATACCTACCAAAAACATTTGCAACACAAACAGAAAAACGCAGCAATGGAAATACCAGAAGAACACGCAACAGCAATCTTCCAAATTTCTGTAAGAAAAGAAAACGAGTGCATTTACATCCAGAAATCAATACCTTTGTGACTTCCCAGATAACCTTGCACATGCATGTACACAATCTAGGTACATTAAATCTGTACTTACTGCACTTATCTTCACTCTCAGAATCTGTAGCCCCTTTCTTTACTAATAGATTTAAAACCTCTTTGCAGGGATTTGTTTTTCCTTCAGTGGGAGATTGAGTGTATGATGAAACTGCAGCAGTATGTGGTACTGTTTCAGTATTCAGAACATGTGAGGATGAAGGCTCTTCCTGGCAATGTGGCTTGCCGACATTTTCAAGGCAAGCAGTATCTAAAGACCAAACACATTGTAACTGATTACAATAAAGGAAGCTAGTAACATGTAGGTTAATTCAACTAATTAAAAGTGATTTTTCCAGAAATAAATTAACATGTAGTTCACAGTAAACAGCCTAATTTGAAAAAATCTAAGGTATCTACAATTCTACCAGAAGCAGTGATCATGCAGAGTCAGTCGTGCTGATGGCTTGTCAATACTTTCATCAAGCTTGTCAAAAGGTAAAAAGGGGGATTAAGTTTCAAAAGCAACTGTGATGATGGATTGGTAGGGAGGGGAGGGGAGAGGGGGGAGGGGGAAGGAGGGAGGGGGAGGGGGGAGGGGAGGGAGGTTAGAAAAATATATTTTGGTTTCATCAACGGAGTTGATAACCTAAATTCACCATTGTAAGGAGAGTTTAAAGCTGATGATTAGAGGGTAAGCCCTTTGTCAGAGTCAAAAGGTAAGTATACTTTAGCATTTTTTAAGACTACTCTCGCCTAACAAAAACAACAGAACTATAATTGCAGAATGAATTCTCATAACAGTTATAAAATATTGTAATCCTTCCACATGGGTTGGGATGTGTTGCACCACTAACTCCACATCATGTAACCCTCCATGACATATCCCATATTTCAATCCCTGAGTCTTCAGATAGCAATTATAAATGGGTTGTAAAATGATAGTGAAAGGGTTGTAATAGGGTTCCGCATGAGAAGCAATCAAACCACTTCTTCCTCTGCCCTCGTGCAGTGAAACTGAATGCTTCTGTCTCTTAGCTTTTCTGATATTGATGAGATATTAGGATCTGTTAATTTTTGTTCTTAGCAATTTTTGAAGTGTTTTATTTTCTCATGTATTAATTAAGATGCACCAATCAAAATCATTCCTTTGTTAAGTTAGACATAACTTTCTGGTTGCATAAATCATTGAAAATGAATGCTCAGTAATGAAATCATGTAATCACCGACCCAAAAATCATATCACTTGGTATTGAATTGATTGTTGTTAATATCTAGGGATTGCTGCTGATATATTCTGGCACCAATACATATTATCAAAAATAGATATAGATATAAATTGATAATTAAGTAAAGAAAACTACATGACAACAAAGAGAATTAAAATAGATTTAAATATTATCAATGCCCATTTTGATCTTGAAAAGTGTTCCATGATTTCCCATATTCACCATACAAAGCAAAAAAATTTTAATTTTTTAAAAATAAATTGGAGAGGGACCAAGGGATGGTTAGGAATAAAATGTGGCCATGTACAATACAAATGATTACCGCTAAATTTAGGTACAGATTTTCAAGAGGTTTAAACTATGATTTCCTGTATGTTAGAGTTGTTTATTTCGTGGGTGTGCTGAACTAGACAAAGACCTTTGTAGACAAACCAAATTAGTTAGGAATGTTAACCCCTTTCAATTCCATGATCTGAAAGTTACTTCTCCTTAAAATACAGATATAGCTAAAATATAGTGTTCAATTTTGTACTTTGGATATAACACTCTTCTTTGTTGACCATTTTTGAGCACTGAAAGTCATTTCATGACAACATCCCCACTTGAACAATTTCAAATTGCTGCAAATATATTTAAGTCTTTCTCTCCCAAGATCTCATTTTGATATTTTACTTTATTCTCAGCACTTGTCTGCTTGATATTGTATTGATATCAAGTGTTTCATTGAGGGCCAGGCACTCCAGGCAAATTCACTGTTTAAGAGGACCATTTCACCCACTGATTTAATCATCTTGAGGAAAGTTTTTCTTCTAAAGAAGTTCAGCACAAAAAGTTTTGCTCACCTGTAAAAAACAGTTGCCCTCTTGCTGAAAATGTTGATGAAACCCATGATTGATATTGTAAGAAATTCTATCTTTAGTTATAGTCACTCGATGGGGGTTCAGTAAAGAGTGCATCAATATATCAAATGATTAATACTGAGAGCAAGAGAGTAATTAACCAATAAGGGTATAGAGCTTAAGTCACCTTTAGTGGTTCATTCCACAGGAGTTCCTTGTGATTGACTGGGTGTAAGAATGAGATTTCATATAATGTGACCATTAATGGCTGTCACGTCTGCACTAACACCCTCGGAGAATGAGCAAAACATTCAATAAATTTAACAACAACAAAAATTATTTATCATATTTTACCTTCATCCTTACAAACATGCATTTCAATTTTCATGAAGCCACCATTTGCTGTTCCATAACAGTGTCCTCCTACTTTGTTGTTCACTGAGGACATCTTCCCATTACATGTTGCTGTTGGTTAAAAAAAAAAAAAACACAGAGTTAGCAAACACTGTACTGTAAATTTAAGACTGGGAACTCTGTGCCTCCAACCTGATAATACTAAAAACCAGGATCTCAAAAGTGTGGAAGGTTAAGCCCTCCATTACTACTAAACAATATCTTTTCTATACGAATAAGTTGATTAATACACACATTTTGATTGGTTCTTACAGTCTTACAATCTTCTGGACATCAGATGCAAAGATGGCATCATAATGCATTTGCATCTTTTAGCTTCTTTATTATTTAAAGAAATGATTAAATACCATATGTTTCCATGGATCTTTTCAGTACAGTCAAACCTCGATTATCCGGACCCCGATTATCCAGACTATTCGATTATCCGGACTTTCTTCTCTGGTCCCAATTTTTCCATGAACATTAATTAGTTGTGATCTTGAAAACTCAAAGTCGCAAAAAGCCCAATAATCCTTTCAAAAGACTGTTGAAACAGCATATTATCCTGTGTGCTTTTCAAAATTCAAAAGTGTGACGAGACAAAGAAATATTCTGATGCATTCAGCCGATATATGGTTGGCTCAATCATTTTGTTGCCAAGGGAATTTCATGCTTGATTAGTTCCTTCCACGTGGGTTATGTAAACACACGAGCGATCGATCATAAACTCAAATCAAAAACATGCCTATGAAGCAAAAGCTAGCCGTTCTATTGATTAAAGATAAGCAGATAATTATTTCACATTTCTATCTCATTAATATTCATATTTTTTATTATCCAGACTCTCGATTATCCGGACTATTTACTGAGGTCCTGATGAGTCCGGATAATCAAGGTTCAACTGCACATGTAGATCACGGAAGACACCAAAATGTGGTAAGAACATCAGTGACACACTCAGCTCACCTAATATGTCATGTTTTAGTTCTTACTGCATTTTGTGTCATAATTTTGTGATTTATAACTGAACAGAAGCAAGTTGCAACATGCAATCTTAAATTATCAGTCATCATTAGATTAAATCTTTAGAACAGTCTCTTGATCTGGCACAGGTGCATATTTTACATACGACCCAAAGAGCCATGCTTTCCTGTTCTCTCAACATACTATGGTACCTTGGAGAGTTTTAAAGTCTAATATTGGAGATAATAAAGCCTGAGGAAAATGCTGAACAAGGTTACTATTAATATAATAGTAATCTGTTATTCTTTTCTGATTCTGTGTTTTAGGTTAATAATTAATTTTTTTTAACTTTTCATTTATTTATCACTTAAATAATCTTCTCTTTAAAGCCCTTGGACTTTAGGAAGTCTACTGCAGCGGCAGCAACTTATGTGTGTAAGACCTCTATTAATACCACCATCTGCTGCATTTTTTTTTCACTTTTTAACCATAGCTGTCAATTACCCTAAATGTTTTAGAATTCAAGGTTTTAGGTAACTAATAGGGAAGTTTACAAATCATCTCTAAAGGTATATTGAATATTTAAACAAAGTCTCTATTGAAAGACCCCAGAAGAGTACAATCAATTACCTGGGGTGTTTTGATAGATATGCAACTTTTTTTCCTGTTTTAGTGATACTTGACAGATGCATTAGAAAACTATTCATAGTTGATACAAGACTCAAAACTTCCTGCTCATGTTTGTGAAAATAACTGTCTAAAATGTGAAAGTTGTACCTTGAGATTTATGTTAAATCTAATTCCTGAATTGTTTTTAAAATTGCATAACCTTTAAGTTTCCAATTTTCTGAGACCCAAATTCCAAAGAAAAAGTTCTTTAAAACAGGGAAGTGAAACAAATTATTTAATTTTGGATATAGCAACATGTTCTCACTTGAATAAACAACTAATCCTCAAAGTCTAAATGGGCTGTATTTTGAAAATAGCAAAGCCACACATATTTTGAATTGATAATTCGTTATCAAAATTTTTTTGGCCAGTAAAATGTGTAGGAAAGACATATGATACAGAAGCAATTTCTCAGTAAGAGGTTTACACAACTTGAAACTGAATTAGTTATTAACCACACCCTAAACTACAACTGTAGCTTAGCCTACTAAACAATTTGCACAAATAGCTTACACAGGAGATGAACATAAAAAAATATCTGATCAGGGGTACATGTATCTGAAAATAGCTGGTTAAGTTTAACTGAAATAACACATACATGTGGCTCATGAGTAAAATATCAAATAAATATAAGTTGTGTTTATTAACTGAAGCCATTAGTTTATTTTCTGAAGATTGCATTAAAAAATTTGTTGCCAAGTAATATTTCTGTATACAATTTCAAATACTACATGAAAAATCCATCCATGTACAATGAGCATCTATATTTAAAAATATTTTTGACAAATCCTTTCATAAAAACTAACCCCCTAGCATTTCATCAGGCTTCCCTGACAATTCACTGGTACCCCTTTAAGTTCCTGAGCAGCAAGAGACACCATGACAGTAAAGTGTTTTGGCCAAGAACACAGCACAATGACACTGCCAGGTCTAAAACCTGAACCTCTTGACTCAGAGTACAGTACACCAACCATTGGAACCACCCATCTCCCATTGATAATCACAGGCTTGTTTTAAAGATGAAAAATGAATTAAACCCCTGACCTCCTTCCAATAAACAATGACATGAACACGAACCCCAACAAACTGAACAACTTTCACTAAGGTTTCACATTCAAAAGAAGGCTGTTAGTTATTTTGAAACTTACAGATGAAGAAGTAGGATTTTCCTTTCTGAAATGTAAGATGATGTTCAGCTGAATACCGTTGGAATATGACGGTGCGAAACTGAAGTGATGTGGGGTCTTCACAGCGCATGAGCATGAAATGCCTTGGATCCTGCATAACATTACAACCATCGAAGGCAGCACTGTTGTGTACCAGCCAAAGGTTCTCATACCTGTTTGCTTTTGTAACTTCCCTCAAAGTTGAGTCCATCATCGTGGCTACATTTGGACACACAAAATTGATTTTTGAATTAGCTTCCACATTGAAGAGCTTGGGCTTCCCTGAGGGGCAATCATTTTTAAACCTGTTTGGATAAAAAATTTGAACAGGTGTAGATTCAGTTGTACCATGTGTCGAGTGATGCAGACATAAAAAAATAGTTATCCTACAAAGAGTCCAACTGATAACCAAGTACAGTGCAAGTGTATTTTATGAGAACTTATTAAACTCATTAAAACTTTCACAGAGACATGCATGCTAGTTGGGGGATTAAAAAGGACAGAAGCCGCCAATATGGTCTTGTAGTACACAAAGGCAAAATAAACATTGGCTCCAAGTACAATGGTACAATTAAAAAAAGATATCACGACAAATTGTTAGTTTCGACTGTAGAGAGAGCTCTTTGAAGATCTAGGGTAAATTTTTGTCAAAAAGCAAAGCCATGCACGGGAAACATGAGTCTACCTCATCTAAAAGATACAATAGGAGCCCAAGCACGAGGAAACAATGAAACGGAGATCAGAGAAACGCGTGTCAAATTCTCATTGTCAGTGTCGTTCTGCAAACCACAAGAAATTACAGGCTAGTTGCGCGACAGGTGACCCAAGCTCACGTCTCGAGAAAAAGCAAACAATTTAATCATGAGAGCGTCACGCGTTGTGTGACTCGGCGTTAAGTTACGAGAGGAACTGCTGAGAATTTGAAAACGTTATATATTAAAGGAATAGTATGGGGAACGAAATATGAACATTCTAAACATAAAATCAATAGAAATTACGCACATTTTGTGTGTCCATGGTAGTTTCTGGTGATTTTTGCCGTTTTAAGCTTGCTTTGCTATCACTGTTATTCCTCACACAAGACGTCTTATGACAGGAATAACAGTGATGGCATAAATTGTCGGTAGATTTTTTATTTTTTTTTTCTATTTTTTTTTTCTCCAGACGTGAGCTAGGACCGCCAGTAGTTGCGCATTCAAATCCTAACGTCTTAGAACAAATGAGTGGCTACGGGAAACTAACTTTGATATTGGCTTTCAGGTTTCGCAATCTGCTATCGATTTAAATAGTAGATAGTATAAAAGAATTAAAGTTGCCCGTTCCTGTAACAGGAGCATTCATGAAAGAGTCAGACATGAAACATGCAAAACGAGATTTTCACTCACAGTGGATTTTCATGATCCCAAATTATGGACTTGTAAGTTGCACTTCCAAGAATGTGATCGAAGCTCATGAAGAAGATGAGAAGAACACGAAAACACCCTTTCGAATTCATCGCCAGTCGTTGTTTTAGTTGTTTTATGTTTACTCAATCGTCACATATCCAAGTTGCTCATCTCGTTCTTCACTTTTCGAAAAAAACGCGTATCTCGAAGAGGCAAACACTGTCGAAAGCCTCGCTTGTTGATGGCAACAGAATATGTCAAAATGTTAAGGTCTGTTGGCAATCAACCCCGAATTTTGTACTTTTTAGACTTTTGGAAGGACTTGATCACGTGCTTGGATACTACATAGCAACGCATTGCTGGTAAGCTACGGTGAGCTATGCTGAGCTACGCAACAAAGGACATGTCTGATTGGCTGAGAGCAACTCGAAAATCCTGGTATTCTATTGGCTAATCCAAAAAGCCATTCGAAGCGCGTGAAACTAAGAGATTGGAAGAGTGTTATTTCATTGGAACTTAGCTCGTTGTCTTTACAGAGACGGTGAAACACAGCGAAAATCTAACATGGTAGTCACAATTACTTGGGCCTAATAATCACTGTGGCGAACGCTGATTCATCCCTAATCAAAATGACAGCGAATGATCTTAAAATTGAATAATTACAAGCTTGCACGAGTGCCTATCAATAGTGAAATTTGAGGACAGAGAATCGTTTTCTTTTAAAATGCAGTTTTCGATATCGTTTAGGGTGGCAAAGCACAGCGGAGTTACCATAAACAATAAGGTAAATTTACCTTGAATTAGAATTGCGTAAATTTGGTCTTCCTTTGAAATAATAGTCGTTTCAAGTGAAAAAACGAAAAACTTTCCGCTTGGCGAATTGGAAAAAACAGCACCATACTCAAAGGTATCAGAATCCCCTCTGCAAAAATTTGAGTTATGATTTAAAACCAACACAGGTAGAGGAAGTCCAGGTGGAAATTCAAATTGTAATGGTTATTCAGCCGGTTTTGGTCATTGAGAAGGAACTATAATCTCGAACGCTGACTTTTCATAACACGAGTGCGACAGAACAGTCAGTTTTCCTTACGTAGAATTATTTGCCTTCAAGTGCCCTGGGCTTTTGTCGTGGAAAGTGATACATAAATTCCAAACAACTGGTAATAGACCTTTTATGAAAGAAGAGCTTCGTAAGTACAAACTATTATAAAAAGTGGCAAGGCTCACACCTTAGCGCGGAGCAGAGCGAAAATCTCATTATAAGTGTAGCTTCATTTGATTTCTGTTGTAACCATCGGTAGATTAATTTTCCAGTTTTAGACTTCAGTTGTCGTATTATATTAATTCACGAGCCCTTTCAGCACATTTGTGAAACATAATCGCTTCTCAGTTTAAGTAATTATCGATACGACGCGAATATGGCTGCTTAAAACAAGAATCGTTTCTAGTTCTTTACGCGTTCTCGAGGCCAAATATCTGAAACGGCTGAGTGATACAGCAATCGCCATATTCCGAGTAGAGAATTGTAAATAAGGAATAAGGAGAGCTTAAAAGTTTAAATTTAAGTGTGGCAAGGCGTGCGAAAGGCGACTAATAATAATGCAAAGTCCAGCAACCAGTCAGAGAAAAAAGCATTCACCATATTTATCGTTATCTTTAGTTACAGAGTATCACTTCCATCAACTATTTACAATCTATTGACAGTTTCGAGTGTCAAATTCTACTTCTTACATTTGTCTACATGTATATGCTTATATCATAAGATTACAAGTTTAAGTTTTTACTAAGACTAACAATTTTGTATAATTTTACAATGATCTGTTGTCAAACATTTAAAATTATACAGTATATTATATAGAATATCAGTAAACCTGGAGGCCTAATTGAAACCAAAGTATAATAATGGTATACAAATATCTCTATATATACAACAAACATTGTTTTTGGAGCTTGAACACTTTTCAGAAGGGCTTCTACAAAGGGCTTCTTCAGCAAAAGGGGAAAATGTTCACCGGTTAGGTTATACTGCAACATGACATTAGAGGTTAATATTTAACCCTTTCACTCCCAAGATCTCCATAGCAATTCTCCTTACTGTCTGCTGTATAATTCTCCTAATGTTATTTTGGAGAATTTGGTATTGGATCAACTGATAATCCCCCAATTGATATTTTTCTTTATTCTCATCAATTGTCTGCTTGATGTTGTTTTGTTGTTTGCCATTATTTGCCGGCAGCACGCGGTAAGGAAACTGGACACAAAAGACATTAAGCAGCCAATCAGACAAAAGTCTAATAATTCCTAAAACTGAAAATCTCTCTTTTTTTTTGGAGTGAACGACGGTTGAAATACGACTGTAAACAAAGAAGCTCACCGTAACTCGGTCCTGGAGAAGCGGCCATATCCTGTCATATATTGGGGCTTTCGCCGGGATTTTACTCCTAGAGCAAAGGTAAAGCAGGCGAAGTTAAAGCTCAATGAAATAAAAGTTACAACAATTCTCGTTTTGTGTCCTTAAACAACAAGTGTTTGGGGTGTTTTCGACGAAAAAGTCAAAGATCGCTTCGCTTGAGTTGATCACCACAATGAGCGCGATGCTGGTTTGCTTGCTCACTAGCAATGTGTTGCTATGTGGTATCCAAGCTCGTGATCAAGTCCTGCACAGAGCCTCTACGAGCAGATGATATTATGCGCAGTCCAGCAGCTGCTTCGTGATTGGTCCCTGATCGCCAGCCGTCACCCTATGACAAACGTTTGTTTATCCGTTTCGAAACAGTGGGGGTCAACACCTTCGATTGGAAACGAAACTCCTTTAGCTGCCCCTCTCCTTTTCAATCCCTTAATGACCTAGCCCTTAGCCGCGCTGATATGATTCACACTACTATCAACGTTGGACACGTAATGTACCTACAGCCGGCGAACTTTCGAGGGCTGCACGCGCGACCGAGTTTCCGGCCACGATTAAGTGTGTCGCATGTTTGCTTAGCTTACCGCGGACTTAGCTGAAGACATGTTAAATTTGCTTGGCGAAAGACTTAAGCATGGGATGACACTTCGGAAATTCAACAGATCAATTATTTTTGCTGTTACGAAAACTCAACGAGAAACGATAATTTTTACGAAACCCAGAGAAACAGCGTAATGATTTTTTCATTTTTTCCTGTTGCTCTACGTGCGCACCCATTCTTCCGAATTCTTTATCAATTAATTCTCGCGAGTGACTGCATTCTGTCCTCAGACCCTTTAATACTGATCGCCCTTACAACTGACAAAACTTTCAATGGTAATACAGCGCGAACTATCCAGTGTATTTGTATAAGCTTACTGGTGGTATCCTACTGAATAAAATTTCAGTATTGTAAAATGTCCGCAAAGTTTTCGAAAACAATTTCTGCAATTAAGTTTGTGACGCATTAAAATACGTCGGGCATCACACGAAGATTATGTAACGAGCGTTTTGGGTTGCATTTTCGTGAACGTGACCGAGGTAGTATAATAATCAATATTACTTGGGCAGGACAATGAAGAGAAGAAAATAAAACTTTATAATTCTTACATCATCAAAAATTTTGGTGGCATTCAGTAGGTTCGAGTTTCTTGCTTACGCGCAGAAGAGAAAAAACTGAAGACACACAACTATACAACAACTGTAAATAGGGAAGTTTACTAAAGACAGACAGGTAGAAAAGCAAACAAATCTTTATTTCTGTGTTGGATTAAAACATTAAGTAAACGGAACAGGCACCCACAAAATGCCAAAGAGTTAGTAAAAATCACCGAGTGCCGGCTGTTTGAACTTTTCGTTGATCCAGGAAATATGAGCGCAGTTCGACTCGTAAATATGAGATCAGACCCTGGTGACTTATTAGAGGAACATCATGAAGCCCCACGATGCACGAACGTAGGTCAAAACTTTTTCATATAGGATTGAAGAGCAAGCAAAAATGTAGGAACTCATTGCCCAAGTAATTTTGAAGTCGACTTTAAAAGTACGAAATAGTAGTGTTTCCCAGTGTTCATCGGTTTAGTTCCTTGGGATCTGATATTATACATTCCTTGATTTGTTGTGATTCTCGGGGTGTGATGGCACACGTTTTTTCGCATGCCTAGGTTTATGAGTATGTATTACATTTACGTCAGCGAATTAAAAGTTGATGGCGAAAGGTTAAGTGTGAGATAAAGTTTTATACCCTAAAATATTTGATAAGAATTGCAGAAATAAATATCCTTAAGCAAACAAAAAGGTGACAGTTGTTACATTCCTATCATGGAAGATTCTGAGAGTTCACTTCTCTCCCTCTTTTCACAATCAAATCAGTCGATTGTATGTGAACACCCGGCGAAGGTTTACAAAAATTAGACCAGACCGCAAAAGAGAGGTTAACCCTTGAAAGAAATGAATTGCTTTCGTTCAAAGTTTCCATGCAGTGGCGCATACCTAAGTCACGGCTGACTGAGGGCTCATAAGGTCAATAAATAAATAGATGTCCTAATATCTCGATAACGTAACTTTCTGAGGAAGGGCCGCTCGAAACATCAGCTTTGAAACTCCTTACGGTGGCCAATTTCCATTACCAACTACACTGACTATACTCCTCCACCAACACAGCACCACAGTTTCTTTAGAAACTTACTTTGTTTATTCATTCATTATTGCTCTTCGACCGTGTCGGCCAAGCCTCTGTGAAATATGTTATTGGCCTCTGGTTTTAACCCTTCCTTTAAAGCAGTTTTACCGAATCTAAATGCGTTAAGTTTACAAATTCCAGAGCGCAACCCGCACATTTTTCACCTTTATATACCTAAAACATTCTTAAATATATCTACGGTGAGAGTAGGAAAAAAAGTGCGCGTCAGCAGAGGCTCATGACGTCACGGTCGAGGCACGGGACTCAAAAATTTTGCCACAACTTTTCATGTTTTCTTTTGGTATCCATTCTAATCTTCTACATATTTTCATCGTTGTGTACTTAGACATTTTGAAATATATATACAGTGAGACTGAGTAGAAAAAAAATGCGCGCAAGCGGAAGCTCATGACGTCATAGTCGGGGCACGGGGCTCAAAACTTCTTGGCTTTTGGTATCCAATTTAATTCTCTGCGTCTTCT